AAACCTACACTAATGAAAATAAAAAATAAGTGGGCCAGGGATTTAGCTCAGTGGTTCTGCCACCTGCCTCGCAAGCACAAGTTCCTGAGTTTGATCCCCAGTACCAAAAAAATTAAAATTAAAATTAAGTGCAATCTATAAATCTACAATCAGAAACATTTATTTTTAGAATGAAAACAGAAAAAAATTATTTTTTTAAGAAAGAAAACAAGTGGCAATTCTTTTTGTCATGGTCTTTGCTTTGTTTTTTTTTTTGGTACCGGGGATTGAACTCAGGTCCTTGCGCTTGTAGGGCAGGCGGCTGGCGTGGTCTATTTTTAAATAGGTAGTTGTCTTAGTTAAGGTTGCTGCAATAGAATACCACAGACTTAGTGTTTAGAGAAGACAACTTTATTTCTCAGTGCTGGAAACTGGCAAATCCCAGATAAGGGTGACAGCAGAGCCAGTATCTGACAAAGGCTTTCTTCCTGGGTTACAGACGGCCGTCTTGGTGCATCTTCACACAGTAGAGAAGAGAGGGGAGGAAGGAAGCAAGTTCTCTCATCCTATAAGATATCAATCTTACGCACGAGAGGGTTCTGCTTTTATGACCCAATACACAACCAAAGGCCCCACCTCCTAACATCATCACACATTTCAGCATTTGGACTGGGGGGACATAACCGGTGATATAAAGCTAACTTTTTAAAATTTCACATTGTAAATTCATTCCAGTAAATGGTTATTGGCTGGCAAGTATTTATAATCTGATGCCTCTGTTAAAATGATTAAAATGCTTTTCTTGGGCTGGTGGTTTATCTCAGTGGCGCCAGCGCCTGCCTGGCAAGTGCAAGGTCCTGAGTTCGATCCCCGGTTCCACAAATAAAAATTTAAAAATAAAAAATAAAATGCTTTTTTTTCAGCGAGAGCCCTGAGAGTAGTGTCATTTCTAAGCCAGATTCCCTGGAAAACAGACCAAAGCAGACGTGCACACGGAGGATTTACTAGGAAGAGCTCTTGGGAACAATATCCATAAGAAAGTGAAGAAAGCAGGACTGGACTGATGAAGGCAGTTCAATGAAGTTGTAAGAGAAGCTTCATCTGAGATCTGTGAACTAGAATGGACCTTTAGAGATGTCTCAGATTGAGTAAGCTGGACCTTCACACTCTGCAATCACAGCCAACCTGGGAGAAGCAGTCCCCTTTGGCAGGAGGCAACCAGAGAAACACACACCTTCATCCTGAAGGGAGCAATCTGAGCAGCACCCGAGCATCTACTCCAATTAAGACAGACAACAAAAATGCCTGAACCTTCTCGGTTTTTTTTAAAGAATTTTACACTTGACAATAATATGATACAAGGAGCCAGGGATTTAGCTCAGTGGTGCCACCACCTGCCTCACAAGCACAAGGTCCCAAGTCCAATCCCCAGTACCAAAAAAAAATAATAATAATAATATTATACATGACGGATACTAAAAGAAGTTTTATGCAAAGTATCACACATGGAGCCTACACATGGAGCCATTTTTTCCTATTATTAGTTGACTACTTTCTAATAAATTTGGTACCCAATTGCCTATTCAGGAATCTTACTGTCCAAGTATGGCACTACATATTTAAATAACTCGTATTTGATGATATGATGAAGAATTCATCAGCATTTGCAATCCTAGCCTTAAATTTTCTTTCTCCCTTGAGCTACAGTTTAAAGTTTTTCAGTTTTTCAGTTGTTTATGTCTAATATTCACCATATTAGATTTCCCAAAGACAGAGAATAAATATTTTACCTTTTTATATTCCTTAGTGTGGTGGTTAAGCTTCACTGTGTCAACCTGATTGGTTTGAGAGCTGCTGAGCAGATTAGTAAAGCACACTTCTGAGTAAGTCTGCAAGGGGCATAGAGGAATGGTTTGGGTTACTACATATGGTACCCAAGTTCCTCTCTGGCTCTGTTTCTCTGCTCTATTTCTTGGCCACCATGAACTAAGCATCTTTGCTTTGCCATACCCTTCCACTATGATATTTCTGCCTTGGAGCCAGCACATCATGGACTGAATACCCTGAAACCATAACATAATTAAACTTCTCTTCCTCTAAATTGTGGCTGTCAGGCATTATATCTCAGTGACAGGAGAGCTAATACATTTACAAAAATTCCTCAGTTGATACTTAATAAAAATGTATTAATCATGAAATTATTAATGAGCAGCTGTATGATAACAAAAGTACATCTTCAATGTTTCATTTCAAACGTTTAATATATAAAAATTAACTCAATTTTTATTACTGTGTCAAAACTAGGATGTTTTGCAACAAAATAATTATAATTTTAATAATTCTTTTAATTTTCAAAACTTACATTGATTACTGTATTAATTTTTAAAACAGAAGAGAATGTCGTGAAGTAAACCTTTATTATATACAAGTAGCTTGATTGGTTATATTCTGAAAAAAGAATGACACATTTTCTCTTATTCTTTCAAGAAAAGGATCCATAAGATTTAAATGATCTCCAGAAAAATGTTTCCATTGCTTCAGTTGTGACATGGAAAGAGGTTTCAAGGAGTTATATTTTTGTTGATGAGGACCAAGTTGACAATGTCTAGAGACAGCAAATTTTTCCAAAGAATCATCTGAAATAAGTAAAACAATAAGAAAATGCTTAGGCCAATCAATAACCTGCTGTAAACAATACTTATTTTGCTTTATAACAATGCGTTTATGTAATTTATTACATTGGATAACTATAGTTCAAGTTAAAATACATAATTCATTCTTTCTACAAATATTTACAATTGTTTATGCTATGTTGGTTTACGTATTGTGGGCAAAAATGGTTAAGAAACACAAGCATGGGCTCTGAATCTAGAGTAGAAGAAATATACATTAAACATAATCATCCAAAGAAATACATTACAGGTTTATAATCACATATGTAAAATCTGTAGGACCAGATATGTTTCCAAATTCAGAATACAATTGGAATAATCTGAGTCAGCACTCCATTATCAAACTCATTAATATTCTGCAAGTCATATGAATAGTCTTGTGAAATGGTTTAAATAGAGGCTACCAATAAACATATTAATTTAGATATGAGTTTTGTCACCAAATAATTTTATTACAAATTTATGAAGGAATAAAAACCTTTTGCTAGTTTGAGCTTTCTAGATTTCAGAATTGGAGATAAGGCAAAAAAAAAAAAGAATTGGAGATAAGGAATTGTGCAGCTGCACATTAAGGGTTTGAAGGAAAAGAAAAAAGAAAAAAAGAGAAAAAGAATTGAATGCGTGGGGCCAGGGATTTAGCTCAGTGACACCACACCTGCCTCGCAAGCGCAAGGTCCTGAGTTAGATCCCTGGTACCGCAAAAAAAAAAAGGGGGGGCGGGGTTGAAGGAATGACACAGGGACAATGAGCACATCTGAAAAGAGAAGCTGACCTAGAAGGTGAGTGAGGACCCCTAAGGAAATCTTCTAAGAGCTAGAAGATGACAAAACAAGAACTAGACGAGGAAGAAAGGCAAAGCAGTCTAGCAAAAGTACAAGGACCGTGAAAGGAACACTGGCATAGTTGAACTAAGATAATCAGAGCCTACAGAGAAAGGCAAAGAATAATGCAAGAGGAGAAATTAAATAATGCAAGGTGAAATAAGTATTGAAGGGTTAGATTATGTAGACATGAATGGCTGGGACCAAATTCATTTCTTTCTCCTCCAGGGCCACAGCCACATTTCCCAGCCACTCTCACAATTAGATGTAGCCACTGATGAGACTAGCCTACAAAATGCGACCATGTCACTTTCAGGTCTGGCCTATAAAAGTCCCCCATACCACAATTTCCAACATTTTCTCCTCTCTTGGTGCTGGCTGGCAGATGCAGGACACCCCCACAGAAGATTCTAAAGCTCAAGGGGGGTGAACCCAAAGTGGAAGAAGCCAGGTCACTGCATCACCTTATGGAAGGCTGTCCACTGAATGCCACAGTGACTTGTTACATGAGTGATGTCATTGTGCAATAAGTCATTTGTTTCTTGCTTTGACACTTAGCCTCCCCTGACTAACCACTTTAAAGATTTTAGTATTTTCCTAAGAGCATTAGGAAGGCACTGAAGGTCTTAGTTTTTTAACCTTTTAATTAGAGAAAATTTCAAGTAAATATAAAAGTTGGAGCCAGGTGTAGTGGTGCACATCTGTAATCACAACACATTGGGAAGCTGCAGCCAGAGGATCCAAGTTGAAACCCAGCCTGGGCAACTAAGCCACTCAGCGAGATCCTATCTTCAAATTTTTAAGTTCTACAAAGGATAGATATAGCTCAGTGTGAAAGCTTCAGGTTCAATTTCCAGAACCACAAAAGAAACAAACAAAAAGTTGATCGGATAGAAATAAAGAACCTGTACATACCTCTTCCTTTAATAACCACCAACTAATGGCCACTTTTATTTAGACTCCCTTATTTTCTCTAATTCCTTATTTGAAATACATATATAGAATATATCATTATACCTACAAATATTTCACTCTATATTTCTAAAAGATGGACTTCTTTCAAATTTTGTTTGTTTGGTTGGGGTTTTTTTTTGGGTACCAGAGATCGAACTCAGGACCTTGCACTTGAGAGGCAGGAGATGGAAGCACTGAGCTAAATCACCAACCTGACTTCTTTTAAATTTTATCACAAAAAATTTTGTCACTCAGTATCAAAATATCATCAGTGTTCAAAATCATAGAAGTTTTAAGAGATGGTAAGATTACTTTAAGAATCTAGGGGAAAAAAATAGAATATCTTCAAAGCACTGACCAGAAAAAAATCTTATCAGCAAAGGCAGCATTTAAGAGAGAAAAAATACATACTTGTAAAATCAAAGATTGAGAGAACCATTTTTTAGCCATTGTTGAGAGAGGAAAAAAAAGAACATGAAAAGACAGTAGAACTAAATAAAAAATATCAGTAATTATAATAAATTTAAAAACTAAATGTACTAGGGCCCGGGATTTAGCTCAGTGGTTTCGCTGCCTGCTGTGCAAGCACAAGGGCCCGAGTTCAATCCCCGGTACCAAAAAAAAAAAAAAAAAAAACCAAATGTGCTAGTTAAAAGAGAATATCACAGGCTGGGGATTTAGCTCAGTGGTGCTGCCACCTGCCTCGCAAGCACAAGGTTCTGAGTTCGATCCCAGTACCAAAAACAAAGAGAATATCATACTGGGAAAAAGAAAATCCAGCTTTATGCTGCTGTCAAGAGAAATAACTAAAACATAAGGAAACAGACTTAAGGGAAAAGGACACACCAGTATTACTGGTTTTTGGGAGTGTTTTTTGTACCAGGGATCAAACTCAGGACCTTGTGCTTGCAAGGCAGAAATGGCACCACTGAGCTAAATCCCCTGCGAAACGACACACCAGACAAACACAAACAATAAGAAAGCTGGTATAACATGTAATTTAAGATAAAATGAAAGCAAATGGCATTAAGGATAAAGCTATCACTAGATAATAATAAAATAAGTAAACCATAATGAAATCAATTTCACAAGATACAAATATATAAAGGAAAAATTGACAGAATAACAAACTGACTAATCCACTGTCATACAGTATTGTGAGAATTAAACAACTTTCAGTAACAGTATATCCAACAAAAATAGGTTATTAACTTTAAAATGGAAATGGTTCACATACAGGAAATATGGCTTTTATGTTCAACTTCATGCATAATAAGAGAAAAGCAAATTAAAGCTGTATAAATATACTATTTTCTTACTGTAAGATTAGCAAAAATCCAAACACTGGATAATCTACTATGGTGGCATGGTTTGGAGGATATAAACATTTTAGTATATTTTCGGTTAGGATGTAAACCTCCAATGGAGACCATTTTGGTAATATCTGTTAAAATTATGAAGGCACATTTTTTCTGACCCAGAAAAACTAATAATTTAACTTTCAGATATACTGAACACATGGAAGAAGATGTATGAATAGAATTATATCGTGAATGAAAAGCTAACTATACATCTGTGGGCAACAGATAAATTATAATGTATCCATACAATAGAGGATTATAGGGCCGGGGATTTAGCTCAGTGGTTCTGCCGCCTGCCTCGCAAGCAGAAGGTCCTGAGTTCAATCCCCAGTACCAAAAAAAACAAAAACAAAAAAGGATTATAGAGCTGAGTAAAAAAAGAATGAGGAAATTCTGCAGTGATATGGAAGGAGCTCAACATATACTGCTGAGTACAGAATTATACAAATAATCAGCTATCCTTTATTAGGAAAGATTAGCAAAAATTTAGATATAGAGTTGCTTACATATGTATGTACTTATATCTGAAAGGATACACAAAAAATTAACAATGGTGGTTTCTTAAGGGGTAAAAGGTTAGAACTCAGGCAGACGATGGGGGAATGGGAGGAAAAGCTTTGATCATATACATCTTATATTTTTAAATAATTAAGTCATGTAAATATACTATCAATTCAAAAGTTGAATTAGTAAAATTTTCAATCTGTAAATTAAGAAAATTGATGGCAATATTTGACTAACAGAACTTTGAGCAATTAACAAACTATAGATAATTTTATGCACAAAAAATTTACCAAAAAAATGATCATTTCCCAGATTACATACTAAGTCTCCACAGTTACCAGACAACCCATGGAATACAGACCATTCTTTCTGACTAGGGTACAGTAGCCATAATTAAATAACTAAAACTAAAGTACATTTGAAAACATGCTTTAAACAGCTCATGAATCGAAGAAATCATAATGGAAAATACACAATATAAGTATAGGTATAAAAATTATGGGATTCAACTTAGAGAAAAATTTACAGCTTTACATACTCATTTGGAAAAGAAGACTAAAAATTATTAAGTATCCAACTTAAAAATCAGGGAAAAATTATAGTATACACAAGGAAAGAAGAAAAGAGGAAATAATAAGAGAACTACTATTTAAACAGAAAAATATATAGTAGGACCAAATGTCGATTCTTTGTTACCAAAATGGCCATAAAAAGAAAACTTAAAAATACATATCTAAAGTTTAAAAATAAGATATAAAAATATACACATACTTTATATCTAATACCTAATACTGTTAAAATGTTATACGTGATTATAATTATATATGTATTAGTTCTAATACATTTACTACAAATTTTAGTATATGTGCTGCCGAAGTGAGCACACTACCAATTTTAGAATATAGAAAATATATTTTATAAACTAGGAGCAGAGGTACACGGCTATAATCCCAACTACTAAGGAGACTGAGAAAGGAGGATCACAAGTTCAAGGATAGCCTGGGTAACTTAGCAAGACCCTGTCTCAAAATAAATATTAAAAAGGGCTTGGGGCTGGGGATTTAGCTCAGCAGTGCCACCGCCTGCCTCACAAGTGCAAGGTCCCAAGTTCAATCCCTGGTACCAAAAAAAAGGGAGCTGATTTAGTTCTGTACTACAGTGTTTACCTAGAAGGCCTGAAATCCTGGCTTCAGGACCCAGCATCGCAAAACAAAAACAAAAACCTGAAGCCATTATACCAGGCTTCAAAAAATTTTCTTAAGTTATAAGAAGCTAAACTGAGAAAATGTGGTTTCTCAAATATCTATCTGACAAAGATAGACCTGAGAAAAAATGAAAACTAACATATGCAAATGAGAAACATTTTGAAGTTTTTCTTTGAATATTCTGAACTGCTAAAGAGAGACAAATTAACTTTGTAGTAACAATTATAATACAACTAACCTGTGCGATCTTTTTCTCCAGTACACTCACAGTCAAGCAGGTCATGAGTAACACAATGTGAACTTTCATGTAATGTGAACAAATTTTTAAGTTCCTCTACTGAAAACTGAATATGTTCAGATATCTTGGTTAGGTCTACAACGGCCCCAGAAAGAGCTTGCTTACTGATCTGCCTTTGATAGATCTTTTCTTCTATTGTACCTGAAGAGAAAACATTCATTAGATTTCTTTAAGATCTTTATGGCTGCTATTTTTACAGACTAAAACACATTTATTACCATATTAGTTAATATTTCTGAAAGTGAACATTGGCTAAAAAATTTTTTTAATTACTCAAAAGGTATACTTTTTTTATTCACTGAAAAGTTATTACCTGTGGTTAGGAGTCTGTAAATATGTACAGCATGTTTCTGACCATCTCTCCATACTCTAGACATAGCCTACGGAAAGTAAGTGAAAATTCTGAGTACAATAGAAACTAATGGTCCTTGCCACATAAGCCAATTTTCAGGAATACATTTTTTGGTCAAAAATTCTGGATTTTATTTATAGATTCAAAAACAAGGACCAAGCATGCCCCACCTCATTTCTTTTTCCTGGGATAAAGCAAGGGCAGATTTAGTTCAATCCCTGGTACCAAAAAAAAACCTGAGATAATCAATGAGGAAAGGTTCATTTCACAAAAAAAAAAAAAAAGGAAAGGGCAGGTTTGAGCACTCATAGGCATTATTACAAAGTAACTGCAGGGGGCCAGGCAACAGTGAGTGGAGTAGTGTGATGTAGTGTAGTGTTATTTTGGTTTGGTTTGTAGAACTGAGGATTGAATCCAGGGCATTGTATATGGTAGATAAATGCTCTAACACTGTTTTATCTTGAATTTTTAAAAAATGAGTTCGATCCCTGGTACTGTGCAAAAAAAAACAAACAAGGAGTCAGTGAATTTGGTCAGCAAGCATGTGAGAACCAAGTATAGCATAGGCATGGAGGGTTCCTTCCCAGACCAAGTAGCTAATGATTCACCCCTAAAAAGTCCCTAGGATACCTGCAATCAGCTCAGGCTCTAGGTTGAACCCTGTGATTTAGGGAATAACAATGAAATTGTGCAGTAAAAAGGTGACGTTCAAACCCTGAACATTCCAAAGCAAGTGAGGCCTCCCACCAGCTCTCTAAACCCTTAGGCTATCCTTGCCTGATAAGACCATCTTTGTTTATTTGAAGACTTTGGTCCACTAGACAGTTTACGCTAAGGATGTGATGGAGGATCTCTGGAGTGCCTGGAGACTGAGTAAATGAGGTTGGTCATGCAAGTCCTCCGTGACTACAGGACTGACCCCAAAAAAAACTCGACACCAAAGCTTGGGTCACCTTCTCTGTTGACAATACTCCATGTGTATCATCATTCATCGGTGCTAGCATGAAATGTCCTGTAATTCTGCTGGGAGGGACAACTGGCCATTAGTGCCTGGTCCCTCCTCCACTCTGCAGTATGATCCTTTCTCCTTTGCTAATTTAGTATCTTTACAGTAATACAGGCATTCCTCGTTTAACAACCAAGCCATGGTCCTGATACTAGGTCCTTAATTGAATTGTTCACTTAATGAGGAACTGTATATAGTAGGTATGTTACAATATTCAGAACAAAGAAATGGTCAAAGGAAACTTCAACCTGATGACTTTGCTTTTATTTGCATAACTCTTCCATGCAGTACTGTAATACATAACAGAAAATAAAACTACAGTACTGTACTGTACAGTATAATCAGGAAAAAATTACAGTACTGTATAAACAAGGTATACTGTACAAAAAAAGAGACTGAGGCTCTATAAACAAAATGTATAGAAGTGTACCAAAAAAATGGGTCATAAGTCTGAACAGTCATTAAACAGGTAGGTTGTTAAACAAGGTGTATCTGTGTAACCTAACTGTGAGTGTAGCTGCTTCTCTCAGTTCTGCCTGTTCATCCAGCAAATTATCAAACCAGAGGGTTGTCTTGGATCACTTAATGCAGACACTGAGGTACAAATATAAAGGTAGAAATCTCAAAATACATAAAAATGAACTAAACTATATCTTAAAGAAAATCAAAGGCTTTTTCTCAAATAGTTCCTAAATAAGTTAATTTTATACCCTTGCTGTAGCCTGCACAAATTGGTCCATAACACTATTATCCTCCCCTAATGGTCATGAGCATCCTAAAGGCCCATCTGTGAAGGGCAGTAAATTAAGGTCTGGAGACATAAAGTTTAGGTTTGAATTGTGATTCTGCCATCTATAAGCTGTGGGATCTACAAGGTTCCATTTATTTACTTGTTAAAAAATGTGGCCACTGATATTCATACTTTGTAGGAATGTTGTAAAGATTAAACAGACAGTAAATGAGAAGCACTATAACAGAGTGCCTGATACAAAATAAGGGCTCAATATACAGCAGTTAGTTACACATCACCAGCATCTTTATATTCCCAGCAGGCATTCAGCAATGTCTAAAACATAAATATTCCTACCTGGATATCAGTGGCTGGATTCCAATCAATGTCATAGAGAATTAAGTGAGATCCTCCAATCAGGTTAAGTCCTACACCACCAGCTTTTGAACTTAACAAAAAAATAAAGTCAGAAGAGTATTTACTATTGAAATTATCAACAATTTGTTGCCTTTGAGAGATTGGTGTTTGTCCATCAAGTCTTGCATAAGCATATCCATAACGCTTGCAGACGTCTTGCAAAATATTTAAGGTCTGTGTATAGTGGGATACCAACACCACCCTGTAATCAAAACAAAAGATTCTTTACATACCCTATAAAGGCAAAATTTGAATTTTTTAACTTTTTTTTTCCTGAGACAGGGTCTCACTATGTAGTTCAGGTTGGCCTTGAACTCACTAGGTAGCCCAGGCTTGCCTCGAACTTGCAGAGATCCTCCTGCCTCGGTCTCCAAGTGCTGGGACTACAGGTGTGCACCACCACGCCTGGCCAAAATTTGACTTTTTTAAGTGAAGGAAAATATCACAATGATATTATCACTGATATTTACAGAACATACAACAATAACTTCATACAATTAAAATGCAGGTACTCCATATTTAATTTTAAAGTCATAATCTAAACTTCCAGTTTGAAGATAATAGAATAAAGACTCTTCTGTGTTTTCCATCATTCTGAAGTTACCTTAAAAAGAGCCGAATTAACAAAATACAAAAATGTACAAAAGGGTAAATTGTGACACTTATGTTCAAACCTCATTTTTTCTCACTGCCTCTAAAACTCTGCTCACTGGGCTGCGGACATAAATCAGTAGTAGAGTACTTACACAGCACATACAAGTCCCTGGGTGCAAGCCCCAGCACTGCAAAAAACAGATGAACAAAAAAAATCTCTGTTCACCCATTCCTGGTCCAACAACTATCATTCTGGCCCTCAGAAAAGAGGGGAAAATCCAGGGGGTTTTTTTAATGCAAAGAGAAATGTCTATACTTTTAAAGCCAAACTGGAGTCACAATGTGCATCTATATACATGTCCTTTTGTACATATCAAATATTATCTAATAAAACATGTGAGAAGACTTCCATTAGAGGTAGCTGCACGATGCAGGGCAGTACAGAAGATGGCATCTAATGCAACCTGAAGCAGAGGCTTCCAAGAGAAAGCATCTGAGTTGAATCTTAACAAAGAAAAAAAGGCAAAAGAATGAAAAGCAGAGGTATGCCAGGCATAGAAATGTGCAACACATAAGAACCGAGTGCAAGAAACAGGGGAAGAAATAGTCTTATCTCATGTGCTAAGATGTTCAGAAATTTCTGGAAGACAACTAAGAGTCTGATTTTTTAAAGAAAAGGAGTGACGTGTTCACATTCATATTTTATAAATATAATTAAGAGCATAATTGAATATGTAATGGGGTTGAACGAAATAATTAGTTCATAAGAGCCCATCAGAACATATAATTGTGTTATGGCTTGTGTCTAGATGTCACCCTAAAGCCTCATGCAGTCATAGGCGGGGCTTTCTCAGAAGTGGCTGGATCTAGAATGTGTGACACTGGGATTGATTCATGGTTCAATGCGAGGCTCAAGGGCACTAAGATTAAGGTTGTGAGTGTTACCTAATAAGATATAAATGATAGAAAGAGCTGTAGTCATCCCTTGTTACTTTCGTGCCTTCTGCCCACCATGAACCGTTTCTCCTCTGTGATCCCCCTCTGCCCATGCCACCCTGCCTTGGAGCCAGCCAATTATGGGCTGAAACCTGTATAACCTGTGAGCTAAATAAACTTTTCCTCCTTTAACTTTGGGTATCAGGTATTTTCTCTCACCAATGAAAAAAGTAACTTAAAAAAACTGTAATAATCTAAACAAAATCTTAGTAAAGGAAAAGGGGATAGATTCCTGAATTAAGAAATAAAATTAGGAGGTTCTGAGTCACGTGGAAGATGCCAAAGCACCCCACTGCAGACAGGCAGGTCTGCCCATGCCCTACCGAAGTCCTGAGTCACACAGAACACGCCGAATCAGCCCGCTGCACACAGGAAGGTCTGTGCATGCCCTACCGAGGTCCTGAGTCGCGTGGAAGACACCGAAT